TGGGCCACCCCCAGGTGTGAGTGGGCCACTCCTGGCTGTGACCTCACAGGGGCCAGCATTGTGAGGCCCTTGAGCCAGCGGGGATATAAGGCCGGGTCGAGGCTGGCACCTTGTCCACAAGCACAGGAAGCTCTAGGCAGTGACCTGTGGGACTCCCATAGTTAGCGCGTTTGGTGGTTGGTGGTTTGGTGGTTCTGGTTGCGGTCTCAGGTTGGTTCTCTGATTTGGGGCTTTCTGTTGGGCTTTGTTGTGTTAGTTTTGCTTGTGTTCTTTGCTTTGTTTGTTGTGTTTGTTTTTAGCTAGCGGGCTTAGTGGGCGTGGGGCGGAGGATGTCCAGAGAGAGCAGTGAGCGTAGTGTGGTGCGGAGGGTGCGTCGGGACCTCGCGGCCAGCTCCTCCTTGGAGGAAGCCCTCACGGGCCGCTATGAGCCCCTGGGGGTCGTCGGGCAGGGCAGCTTTGCCAAGGTCTTCCTGGCCCGACACATCCTGACGGGGACGAAGGTGGCCGTGAAAGTCCTGCGGAAGGGGGCGGGGGCCACCTTGTCCTGGGTCTTGTCGGAGCTGGACATCATGAAGGGCTTGGAGCACCCGCACGTGGTGCAGCTGCTGGAGATCGTGGAGACCCCCGGCACTGCCTACGTGGTGATGGAGCACATGGCTGGGGGCCAGCTGGGCCAGCACATCCCGGAGGTTGTGGGCCTGTGGGAGGACGAGGCCCGCGTGCTGTTCGGGCAGGTGGCCAGCGCCGTGGGCTACTGCCACGCGCAGGGCATCGCGCACCGGGACGTGAAGGCGGAAAACGTGCTGCTGGATGCCGCGGGCCGCGCCAAGCTGTGCGACTTCGGCCTGGCCTGCAGGTTCAGGGCCGGAGAGAAGCTGGGCCTGCTCTGCGGCACCGTGGCCTACTGGGCCCCGGAGCTGCACCGGCGAGAGCCCTACGACGGCCCCGCGGTGGACGTCTGGAGCCTGGGTGTCCTCCTGATCCTCATGCTCACGGGCAGCGTCCCGTTCACCGGGGCCAGCTATGAGCAGGCCAAGGAGCAGGTGCTGCAGGCCAGGTACCACCTCCCGTTCCACCTGTCCGACGAGGCGCAAAGCCTGGTGTCCTGGATGCTGACCCTGGAGCCCGCGCACAGGCCCACGCTCCAGCAGATCCTGGGGCACCCGTGGCTGAGCCAGGATGGGGAACGCTGCCCGAGTCCTCCCGCCGAGCTGCTCCCCAAGCGCGCGGACACCTCCATCCTGCTGGCCATGCTGGACCTGGGCTACGGGCTGCAGGAGACCTGGGTGTCGGTGGCGACGCGCCAGTTCAACCAGGCCATGGCCACCTACCTCCTGCTGGGCCACCAGAAAACCCGGGGGGCGGGCTGCCAGGTGCGGCTGCAGATGCCTGGGTGGCCACAGGTGGGGCCTTGCCCGTCCCTGTGCATCCCCTCCAACTTGACTCTGGGCCCAAGGTGGGGCGTCAGCAGGCCGGCCATGCGCTCCTGGCCCCTCTCGGCCTGTGAGCAGCAGCAGCAGCAGCAGCAGCAGCAGCAGCAGCCTGAGGAGCTCAAGCCTTCAGGGCAGGTGGGCAGCAGGAGAGCCAGCCTGCCCGCCATCATGCTGTGCAGCCTGTCGGCCAGCGTCCCTGCTCCCGGCCCCACGGCCCCTCTGCCCGGGTCCTCCCAGGCCCTGGCACCGGATCCCAGCTCCTCCTCCACCGCGCAACCCCCTGCTGGCTCCAGGACCCCTGGCCTGACCCGTGACACCGCCAGGGGATGGAGGGGAGTGGTCCGGAGGATGGCCACCTGTCTGGCGAGGCTGTGCTGCTGCGTGCAGGCCCCCAGGACCGGCTCCGGACGCTCCAACAGAGTGGCTCCCGCAGCTGGAGGGCCCGCGCCACCAGCACCAGCACCCAGGGACCCCCCGGGACCTGCCCCCACCAGAGGTCAGGCCCTCAGAAGATTCTTCAAAAACAGAGTGGCTCCCCGGCCAGCGCCCAGCTGAGATGCCCACGGAGCCAAGTAGGTGGAGCGGTGCTGCCTTGGGTCTCACGTGTGCCTTGATGAGTGTCATTTCCAAAGGATGAATGGACACCCTCTGCCCTTGGGGGGTGCCACCAGGGTTAGGTCCACCTGGGCACCACAGGGTGGGCGACTCTGACTCCTAGCCCCTCTCATTGTCCACAGACAGGTGGCCCGGGTTCTACCTCACGAGGGCCAGCTGCTGGAGCGAGAAGTGCAACCTGCCCTGGCCGCCGCCTCCCGGACCCCTCAGGCAGGAGGACACCCGAAGACACCCGGACACCAGTGGGCCCCTGCGCCCCACCCGGATCCCACCTCAGGGACTTCTCCTTGGACACGTGCCCCGCCCTGCTCTCCTCTGCTCTCTCTCCCACCCTCTGGGGCAGAGATGCTTCCCAATAAGCTCCTCATCCATTCGTGTGTCCCACGGATCTTGGAATAAATTGGGTGCTCCGTGGGGATCAGCTGTTGTGTTCCTTGGCCGCCTCCTGGCAACAGTGGGAGAGTGGGTGGTGGTGTCACAGTGGGGAAGGTGTAAGGGAGCAGTGACAGGGAGCCCTCCGGAGGTCCCCAAGGGCAACACGTGACCCAGAGTGGTCCCAGGGGAGGAGGCTGGGTGGGGGGCAGAAAGGCAGACCTTGTGCCTGACCTGACACTGATGGTGCCCGGTCACCACTTTCAGAAGGGAACCCTGGACAGAGGAGCCACAAGCCCAAGCCCATCCTGGGGGCACACCCAGAGTGGCACGAGGAGGCACCGTGTCGCAGGCCCCGGGGGCAGTCAGGGTAGAGCTGTGGGTGCCTCCCCCAGAGTGGCTTGGGGGCTGCCGCTTGGTCCCTCCTCTGAATGTCCCTGCCAGGGCCTGGCTCTTGCCCTGGTGAAGCTTTAACCTCTCTAGGCCTTCGGCTGCACGGGACCATCCCTGTGAGCGTCCTGACCCAGGGACGGGCCCTTCAGCCTGCCACCCTGAGCTCCCCAGGGCTGCTGAGCAGGGAGCAGGACCACCTATGGGTGGGGGAGCTGGGGCGCAGGTGTGGGCAGGGGACGGTGTGTGGTGTGTGAAATGACACATGTTCCTCTGCAATTACTGTATATTTCTGACAAATTTGATGAGTATAGATTGTGAATCTGCATAATTGAACCCTCAAAAATCTATTATTTTGCCAGGTGTGGTGGTGCATTCTTTTGATCCCAGTAACTCAGGAGGCTGAGGCAAGAGAATCAAAAGTTCAAAGCCAGCCTCGGCAACTTAGCAAGGCCCTCAGCAACTTAATGAGACTCTCTCAAAATAAAAAATATAAAGGGCTGGGGATGTGGCTCAGTGATTAAGTACTCCTAGCTTTAATCTCCAGTACCAAAAAAAATGGGAAAAAAAACTATTATATTTACTGTATTTATAGAATTCATTTCCTTGTTAAGACCCCTCAAATCGGAAGTTATTGTATATTCAAAACTAATTTTACAGTATTAAATGCATAGTTTCAGAGATTTTATATATCCTCTATTTCACTACTGTGTATCCACGCAAGTTAATGTTGAGATATCTCGCTCAGGGTACCATGATCTGTAGCACTATGTAGAAAACAATGTACAACTTTCTAGTAGACAGATTAGCCACATTGTTTCATAAAAATGCTAACATCAAGGTTGTTTAGTGACTGAAAGGTAGAACTACAATCAACCTCAGTATAAGTGATTTTTCTTAAATAAGGAATTTTGTAAACACTTAAGAAATCACAGACCCTCCCTAATATTTATTCTGGGCTTCTGTTACTCATAGCAACAAAATTGATCCTGCTATGAAATGGTAAGTAAGCAGTCTGTTGTATATTGAAGAACCGCTCAACTCCAACCTACAAATACAGGCCCGGGCAGTTAAATATAGTCACCATTTGAACTTTCACATTTCCTAGCTTTTAAAGGCAAGAAGAGAGCCACAAGACGCATTTTCACAATGCTGTTCTTAACCTGATTGCATTGGGTCCATAAACACGTGAAGCTGTGTGGACAAAGGGCACAGCTGTCCTCCTGTCCTTAGCTGGCAGGGTTCCACCTCACTCTCTGAGAAGGAACTAAAATGTCTTAAAATCCCTGCAGGAGGCCCACTGGGATAAAATGCAGAGCCCCAGGGACATGTTGGGCACAGCTGACTGGAAAGGGCCCAGGATCGAGAGCGGGACGGATGACACCTTGGGCACGGCAACCCCAGCTTCTCCAGACCATGAGACCCGCCTGCATCCCACCAGGCACCATCAGAAAGCACCTCTCAGCCTGAGGACTGCCAGCCCACCCAGACCCAGGTGAACGGGACAGAACCCAAACTGCCGCTGAGAAGGCAAGGTGGCCAGCCACCAGGCTGACAGAAGACTAGACATGCACTCGTGACCTTGGCAGGAACAGGTCCCCTGACGGGACCCCAAATGCACCTCAGAGTCAGCAACAGTCCTGGATCCTGCCCTTCCTTACAGGAGACTCACAAATCCTGAATTTTCAATTAAGCAACCGCTGTGGCTTTGTCCCTGCACAGAGTTTGTGATAAAACTTGTCAGCATTGCCAAACTGACGCTCACTGCATCAGCTTGGCAGAAGCCACCGCCTCAAGAAGAGTCAGCAACCCAGGGAGAGAGGCATATGGGGACTACAGAAACACCAAGGCCTCTGACAGCTCTTAGCCAAGGAAGAAACCAGAAAGCCCTGCGCTTCTAGGGGCAGGGTCAGCTCTTCAGGAAGTTCAGTTTCTATTTACCAAGAAAAAGGTCGGAAGTCTCAGAATTCTAACCTGTCACAAATTCTGTAAGAATAAGACAACAAATTGGCAAATTATATCGTTATACACAATCATGTAACAACAAACCCCACTGCTGTATGCAAAACTTAATGCACCAACTAAAAAAAGCGAAAAAGAAAAAAACAGAACGAAACAACAGTTCAGTTTTCAGGCCTACTGTAAGTCTGTCTCGTCTCAGAAGTAACTCATTTTAAAGATGCACTAAGAGAGAGCAGCTTGTTTGTATCACTTTTGACAACTTGGGGGCTTTTCATGACTATAGATGTACCAGGATTCCTGCTGTGTGGAGATGAACAGTGCCTCCAATGACATCTTACAGGGCCACTAAGATCACAGGTCACCGGGTCTTCTAACCTCTACCCCTTTGTTAGGGTTTGGATCTTTGATGTCCCCACAAAAACTCATGATTTGAAAGCACAGTACCCAACACAACAATGTTCAAAGGTGGCACAATTAGATTGTGGGGGCTGTAATCTCAGTGGATCAATCCATTTGATGGATTAATCCATTTGATGGATTAATAATTTGGACAACGGGTGGCAACTGTAAGCAAGTGGGGTGTGGCCTTGGACTATATCTGTCCCTGACCCCCGCCTCTCCCTCTCCCTCTCCCTCTCCTTCCCCACCCGCCCCCACCCCATGCTCCCTGGCTATGGTGAACTGAGGATCTGGCCTCCACCATGCTTCACTCGGGTCCAGAGCACTGGAGCTGGACAACCATGGACTGAGACCCTGAAACTGTGTCCAAAATAAACGTTTCCTCCTTGAAGTTGCTCTTGCCTGGTATTTTGGTCACAGCGATGGAAAGCTGACTAACACAATCTGTAAGACCACAGAGTAGTAACGAATCTCAAGGCCATCCCTGTGCTGATTAGACAGACACAGAGAAGGCTGGAGCTCTAAGACCCCGCGACTAGCGCGTCCATGGTTGGTTACCACAGAAGCAGACGCCTCATTGCCTTTCTGTCCTCTTACCCTCGACTGTCTGAAAGCAGCCACACCACACTGCTGCAGATGCCATGGCCATCCGTCACATCCTGAGGCCAGGCAGGCGAGAGATGTAAACCCCAGTCCCTGACTCTACTGCACCATCAATGTCACCCAAAATTATCCCTGGTTCACTGTTCTGGAAACATTTAGAATGCTAGTTTGGTAGATTACCAAGCTGACAACAGTTTGGTAGGAAAAAAGCCCCAGAGTGGCAGAAGTGAAAGTTCCAAGGAGCCAGTATTTTAGAGCTGTATTTGGACCTCTCCCAAGACGAACTAGCAGTGACCCCAAGTCTAACATCAGCACAGGCCTCCCCGGCAGCCCCAAGCCTAACCCAATCTTAATTCCCACGTGCTGTGTTTCTGGGTTACTTCACTCACTTAGAACTTCAGGCTTTCCATCTGTGAAATAAAGAGGACACGAGTCCTCTATTTAATAGGGTAAGTGTGAAGATGAAATGATAGAATGCATGTAGGACTCCTAACAGATTTAGTAAATGCCAAGGCCAGTGGATGAGCAGCCGCATGCGCCCCAGGCGCCACCTGCAAAGCCAGGCATTACTCACAGAAGCCAGGAGCCTCCCGTCCTCCTTCATGGCCAGGTATCGGTTTGCACACAATCCCTTGATGGACACAACCCCTCGGTCTTCGGCTTGAAGCTGGAGCTTGACTGTAAATAAAGGGGAAATTACTCTTGTGGCACCAGAGAGAGAAGAGCCATAGCACAACACAAACAGGACCATGGTGCCTGCCACCCACCAGCCCCCTGAAGGGCAGCGCCACTGGATCAGGGTGGGTGGGGGCCACTGTGCTAGAGCAGGAGCTTCAGAGCCCCGCACATTGCTCACAGCTCCCTGCCCACTTGGTACCACCAGTGAGCAGAGGGGGACAGATTGGGACTTGTTCTTTTACTACAGATCAGTTCCATCTGGCCTGTTAGCCCCTTCACATTTTGTAAGTGAACATATTTTCAGAGTGCATGGAAATGTCGGTGTACCATTTGTGCCAACGTCTGTGCTGCTGCCTTCGCTGATACCCTGTAAGAGTCATTTCTAAGCAATTCTTCACAAGTAGAGACTGTCCAGCTGCTCCCTGCAGGCTTCAGGCGCACCTCCTTGACATCTGTACATCTCATCTCCAGCCTCCCCTCAAAAAAATACTAGTGCATTTATCTTTCCTTATGGAAGGAGTGGATAAATACCTTTTTAAAGTAGAAAAATACGTGAATACTTCATTGGATTATGCAGTGTGATGAAAGATTTCCAGAGTAAAAGCCCCTAAGGAGGATGACCTGTTACACTATATTATTAATATTAAGAGGGTTGTGTGGAAAACCCAAATGTTATTTGATTACAATGATAATGCAAAATGAACCAATAATTATCTAATTGAAATTTAAACAATGTTAAACATTTCTAGTTTGATATTCAAAGGCAGCATTTGCCTGCCTATAACAAAATTCCCCAGAATGTATTATGGCTAATAGATTTTACACAAAAAACATATTTTCAGGTCAAATACATTTAGGAAATTCCTGGTGAAGCCAGTTAAGTCTTTATTGCCAAACTTTCCAGAATTCTGCTTACCATAACCTGCTTTGTAAATCATCATGAGGATCAAGTATAGAATGTTTATCAAATTTATTTATTAAAAAAAAACAAGTTTTATCTTAAGTCGTCCTATGACCTATGAAGGAATTATTGAGCAATAAAAAACTCAAAATTTTAGAAATCAATAAAATATTATCTGGATAACATTAGGAATGTGAAGTTAACTTTTCTTAGTGTTTGTAAGTAGCTAGAGGAACTGACCAGGACATCGCAACTTTTGAAAGATGCTGAAATAATTATTAAATGTATTAGATGTATCACAATAATCATGTTAAATTATTTTCCTATAGAAAACAATATAGGACCTGGGCTGTGGCTCAGTGGTAGAGCCCTTGCCTAGCATGTGATAGGCCCTGGGTTTGATCCTCAGCACCACATAAATAAATAAAGGCATTGTGTCCATCTACGAAAGAAAGAAAGGAAAGAAGAAAGGGATAGCCATATACAGATAAAATGAGACAAGATACCTGCAATTAGCTTTTCTCTGGTGATAAAAAATATTTTTTTAGTAAAGCGGGTAGGGCCAAGCATGGTGGCACACACCTGTAATCCAAGCAACTTGGGAGACTGAGGCAGGAGGATCAAAAGTTCAAAGCCAGCCTCAGCAACTTAGCAAGGCCCTAAGCAACTTAGTGAGACCCTGTCTCAAAACAAAAAATAAAAAGGGCTGGGGATGTGGCTCATGGTTAAGCACCTCTGGGTTCAATACCTATTACCCAAAAAATAAAAAAATAAAGTGAATAGGAAAAATAAGACTGGATTGTTTCAATAGGTATTGGAAGCATGGATTCATTATTCTATATATTTTTATGAATGTTTGAGAAATTACAACAAAAAAGAAATCAAGCCCTGTGATTCCGTTGGTGACTCAATGTCTGCTTCTCCTCTGCTCAGTCCTCCTGGACTCCAGAGAGCACAGCATCTTACTCAGGCAAAATTCTTCCACCAAATCTTTATTCCCCCCTAGGCTGGCCTCCAACTTGCATTCTCCTGCCTCAGCTTCTGAGTCCCTGGGATTACAGACAGGCATCGAGCACACCCAGCATTGTTCTGCTGAATCTTAAAAGATGGTACAAAGCCAGGCACAGTGGTGCACACCTGTAATCCCGAAACACAGGAGGCTGAGGCAGGAGGATACAAGTTGGAGGCCAGGCTGGGCAATTTGGCCGGACCCTATCTCAAGGTCGGGATGTGGCTCCAGGGAAGAGCACCTCTAGGTTAATCACCAGTCACAAAAATAAAGGAAAGAAGAGGGAAGGGAGGGAGGACGAAGGAAGGAAGGAGGAGGGGAGGGAGAGGAGGGAGGGTGGGAGGGAGAGAAGGAAGGAAGGAAGGAGGAGGGGAGGGAGGAAGGGTGGGAGGGAGGGGAGGGAGGAAGGGGAACGGAGGCAGGGAGAGAAGAAAGGAAGGGAGGGAGGGAGGGAGGGAAGGAAAGGGACAGAAGGAAAGAAGAGGGAGGGAAGGAAGGAGAAAGAACACAAAGTAAAAAGAATGTAAAAGCTAAATCATCTGAAGGACTCTGAGGAAGGGTTGCACCCAGGTCCACAGGACCGGGGCCTGCTGGATTGACCCCAGGAACTCCGAGCGCACTGGCTCATATCCTGAACTCCTCCACTGCACAGTGCTCGCTGCGCAGGCTGCACACCTGACCACTGTGCTTTCTCTCTGTCCCTTGTGGGTGAACTGCCTGTGCTCCAGCCTGCCACGCCTACTTGTGAGCCACTGTGGGTCCCATGCATGACTAGGGCATTCGTGTGCCCACATCGGCCCTGGCCCCACGGCCCTCTGCGGGCTTCTCGGGCACTTCTCACTAGGAGCCTGGCCGTCACAAAGCAACACACTAACCACAGATGTCTGAAAGCGTTTTCTTTGGCATGATTTGGGGATGGGGAGGTAGGGATCAAACCCAGAGACGCTTACCACTGAGTCACATCTCCAGCCAGCCCTTTTTATTTCTTTATTTTTTTTATTTTGAGAAAGGGTCTCACTAAGTTGCTGAGGCGGGTGTTGAACTTGCAGTCCTCCTGCCTCAGCCTCCAGAGTTGCTGGGTTACAGGTGTGCACCATCACATCCAGCTGACATATAATCTTTAAAATATAAGATTTAAAGATAACCACAGTCTCTAACAAGAAGTTGAATAAGTCACAAAACCATAGATTTTCTTTTAAAACATACTAAATTCCACATACAAATGACATCTTTCTATAAAACAGGTGCACAGCCACCTTCATCTCGGACAGGAGGGGAGCAGGAGAGACCAGCAGGACTTCAACAAACTGAGCAGCTGCTGAGGGGAGGGGTCCTAACCTGAGGAGCCCTGATCCAAGGGCAGATCCGTGCTCACCAGTCAGTCCTGGGCATGGAGCTGGCCCCAGGTGCAGGTGCCACACAGCAAAGGTGGCCCAGAACACGAGGTCCTGCAGGACCCCAGCTTGGCTGATGAAAGCAGCACGGAACAGGACAAGAGCAGAAAGACCCCCGAGAACCTGGGTCTTCACCAAGCACAAAGTCACAGAGCAGCAGGACAGAGACTTTCCAAGAGGCGGATGGAGTTCAGCAAGGTCGACTCCCCATCGGCCCCACCCGCTGGCAGCTGGGCTACTGGCAAACTAGGGTGCTTGGGAACTCCTGACCAGCCCAGAAAGGCAGGAGAGGAGGAACAGAAAGACAAACAGCAGGTGGGATCACTAAAAAACAGCCCCAAGACAGCGGATTTGAGCCCAGCCATGTGATTACACTGAGTATGACACTCCACATACCACTGACAAGCAAGATCTATCAGTAAGATTTTTTAAAAACTCAACTATATCGTTTATAAGAAAAGCACTTCACGTTCAAAGATACAGGAAAGCTGCATGTACCCACGTGAGGCAGAGATATGAAGTGTACCCCTGAGTACCAGAGAGCGAAGAGGGCCGTGTTGATATCTGACCTCCGGGATAAACAGGGCGGCTCTGTGACAAGAGGTTCAGACGCACTAGGAGGAGCAGTCACCTTGAATGCACAGCACCTAGTACAGAACTCCAAACCACCTGCAGCAAAAACTGACCAAAGAGAAGAAATAAACCAGGAATAGAGAGAGGAAAAGCATGGTCCATCAACTGGACCCAGTGGCCTTTCTTTTGCATGCCTAAGACTTCACCTAAGACACCGTTCTCCTGTTAACGTCATACTGCTTTGCAAACTGGTAAACAGTGAACCCTTCCAACATGGAAAGCCACTCCATGCCCACCTGCCCCCTGGGCTTGACCGGTTCAAGTCCGTTGACTCCATCTGAGAAGGTCTTCCCCTCAAGTCAACAGTTGCTAAATAATGCTGAGGACCCTTGCCCTCAGCTGTCGGTCTTCCTGGTTTAATCTGTAACATCCTACCTGAGATATGGTGTGCACACCACACTACTTGCCCTCTGAAGCATGCATACGAGTCTATGGCTTTGAGTACATTCACAGAGCTGTGCAACCATCAATCACAAAACATTTTCATCACCCACACCCTTTAGCAGTGACCCTCCATGTCCCCAACACCACCACTGCCAACCTTAGGTAACCACTAATCTACTTCCTGTCTTTGCAGATTTGCCTGTTCTGGGTATCCCATATAAGTGGAATTTTCAAAGCACAGTCTTGTGACTGGCTTCTTTTACACAAAAGGCTTTCAAGGGTCCTGTGTGCTGTCCCCCACACCTGTACTTCATTCCTTTATATTGCCAACTAACAGCCCATTGCATAGACAAACCACATTGGGTTTCTCCATTCATCAGCTTATGGATATATGGACTTTGGGTCCACTTTTTGGTTACATAATGCTGCCGTGAACATTTGTGTAAGAGATTCTGGGTAGAATGTTGTCACTTCTTCGGGTACATATGGAGGAGGAGAATCACGAGGATGTATGATGACTCATGTTGAATCCTTTGAAGAACCCAGTTTTCTAAGGCAATGGCACCACTGACATGCCCATCAGCAGCAAGGGGAGACAGCTGCTCCACCTGCTGGCCAGCACCTGTGACAATCGGCTTTTGTCTTTTAAGGAACCATCCGGGTTGGGTACAACTGTGTC